CTTCCTCATGGTCTGTGTTAGAAGCATTTCTTGGGCTGGGGTTATTTATGCTTCTGCACCCACAGAGAAAATGCTCATCAAGAAACCAGGTGATTCAGGGGAAAATTGGTCCAATTACTTTTGTGCCTAGATTGAGACTGATGTGCTGGAGGGAAAAAGACAAGGCCTCAGTCCCTGGTGGGGAGAAGCGTGTTTTGAATCCTAATTATGGTTCATTTTACCTGGAATAGTGTATTAAAAAATGTAAGCACTTTTCTTTTTATCAAGTTAGAAGAGGAAGGCCAGGAAAGGCTGCAGTGTCCAGTGTCCCAGAGTTTGAACAAGACCATGGCTGCTGAGCCCTGGCAGTCAGAACCATAGATAGGGACAGAGCATCGCCTTGCAGTGGGTCCCTCGCCCTCCCGGAGGGACTGACTCCCCACCCCCGCCCCCCGACGCCCAAACTGTGGACTTGGTTCGTCCAGCCAGTTCAGCTGTGTCATTACTGAGGTCCCACAGGCGCTCAGCTGCATGACGCCTATGACCTGTGAGATACCATCTGAGGCCTGGCTTGGGTTCTGGCCAAACCACTGTGGCCAAGGTTGGTCCAGACTCTGGGGGTACTGCTGGAACCAGAGGACAGGGAAGCTCAAGTCCAAGGTGAACACTGAGGGCTAGGCTGGGCAAACCGAGTTGTTAGTGAGGCTGGAGGGCCAGAGGCTCAGCATGAACTGGACATGAGGGACCCCGGCGAGGGTGGGTCAGGGTTCCATAGGGACCATTATCTCTTTTTTTAAAAATATTTTTCTTTATTTGAGAGACAGAGAGCGAGCATGAGCAGGGTGGGAGGGGCAGAGGGACAGGGAGAAGCAGGCTCCCTGCTGAGTAGGGAGCCCAATGTGGGGCTCGATCCCAGGACCTTGAGATCATGACCTGAGCTGAAGGCAGATGCTTCACCGACTGAGCCACCCAGGCATCCTGGGACCATTGTCTCTTGTGGCTTTTCCTGTGGCAGATATGTGATGGGCTCGTGGTTATGGCTGTCTTAAAGGTAAAGAGTAGGGTATAACAGGGCATATTTCAGAAATGAAATGTTTACAGGACCAGATGTTCCGTTCGTCCATTCACATATTCACTCATTCATCCCTCTCAGTCAGCAAGCATTCGAGGTGCTCAGTGTGGCCCCGGGTCAGTGCTTGGTCCTGAGAAAGCAAAAATCAACAGTTGAGGACTCAACTGGGAAGCCCCAGTTGGCAGAGAATATCAGTAGAATGATAAATCACAAAACCAAATAAGCCCTGGGCCAGGCAGGAGGGACGAGGGGGTGCAGGGGAATTCAGACCTGCCTCAGCTTGCGGGGCCAAGGCTGTGCCCTGCCCTGCACTGACTGGGAAGCCGGGGGATGCGCGGGGTGCAGAAGTCCAGGGACGAGCTGGGGTCCCTGCACCCACACAACATGACAAGGGTTGCACATAGATCACTGGGACTGGGCCACCCGGTGATCAGATTATGTCCACAGAAGCTCTTCGGAGGGCCTGGGGAGGCATCAGTCACCCACTTTATCACTGTCTACATCTTCCAGCCAATATTTGCCCAGCTTAGGGGCATGAGATATCAAACAGCTACAAAATGAAGCATGAGATTCTCTGAGGCTTCGGCCTTAAGAGCCTTCTGGAAAGGCCTTTGTGGGAAATAATAGGCAAATTAATGGCAGAACAGCTAGAACATAATGAGCCAGTCTCATCTTACGATTTGGGAATATTTCTTCGGAGGGTGAGTTGGTGTGCGTGTGTCTGGCCATTTTTCCTGAGGCTATCCTGAGGCTATCCTGTTGGCTATCCGTGCTATGTTGTTCCTGCTGGAAAGGAGCAGCTGATTCTCTGGGAACCAAAGCGTGTTTCTTAATTGTGCCCAGCTCCTCATGCTGGATCTTCTGCGAGTTCCCTGTGCTAATCCACAGCAGGGCACATAGAGATCGCCCGAATATTTACTCCACAGGGCATTTTTTTGAAGATTTATTTATTTATTTTAGAAAGGGAATGCAGGGGGGTGGGGCAGAGGGAAAGGGAGACAGAAACACAGCAGACTCTGTGCTGAACATGGAGCCCCACGTGGGGCTCGATCTCAGAACCCCAAGACCATGACCTGAGCCGAAAGCAAGAAGCGGACGCTCAACTGACTGCCAGCCCAGCGTCCCATCCACAGGGCATTTTTAATAGTCATTCCCCTGGTACAAATCATAAAGGAAAAGATCATGAGACTCGATTACATAAAAATTGAAATTCTTATAGGTCAGAAGAAAATTATCAGCAAAATTAGGTCAAGTAAAAAATGAAGAAAATGTCTGCAAAATATATCACAGACATAAGGGCGAACCTGTTACTGTAGAGTTTTTACAATTAAATAAGCAGTGGACAAGCACTTCATAAAAGAAATCCACATGGCCAAGAAGCAAGAGACACCCGTCGAACCTCATTAAACCAAGTAAAACAGGATCATTGATATCTGTGAGGCCAGTAAAGCTTAAAATGAGATTGCTCAAACCCAGTGTTAGTGACAGCATGGCAAACGGAGCGTAGTTACACACTCCCTCTGGGAGAGCACTTCGGAATGTTCAACGATTGAAGCGTACTGTGAATACAGCACGTGTAATCTGTGAAATACGAACAACTGTGAGAAAGAACATGCTGGAAAAGTATTTATTAATGTGGGACATGCACGTAAAATTGCTTAGTGAAAAGCAAGCTAGCAAAAAAAGACCTGCAAATCCATACAGTTTTAGTTGCATTTGAATCATGTCAACTTGAAATACTTTGATTTGGGGGTTTTAATAAGCAAGGTTTACTCTCCGTGCAAAATTTGAAATAATCAGTCACTCTGAATGAAAAATCAGTTTCAAATCGAAATATTCCCAAATCAGTTATAATTCCCCAGGGAATTACAAACCAGAAGTTATGCCGATAAAGCTTTGGGGCTTTGCACTAAGAGCCTTTGGAAAGTCTGGCTGTGATATCCTGGATGAGAAGCAGAGCACTCCTTGGCCCTGAGCTTATAAGCACAAATGGGGACTCCAGCGATCACAGGTTTTTTGCATTCACTGTTGCTACAACTTAGAGTACTTTATGTCCCAGTTGCTGTGACTCATGCATTCACTAGATGCAAAATGTATCCCCAGACAATAACACGGAGTTGAGGGTTTGCTCTACCAATCAATCTTGAAGCAACCTGGAAACATCTAACTCATGTACCAGGGAGCGCTCTGAGGAAAGCATCCTGGAGACTGGAGAGAGCACCGAGGCCTGGAAAGGCATCCTCAGACTGGCTCACCTCTGCCAAGACGCCCTCCTTGGGCAAACTTCAGTCCTGCTTCTGTGAGCCATCTTCATTCACACTCAATTTGGCATGCTGAGCCCGGGTTTGGCGAAGAATCCTGCCAGCCAGCTCATCAGGGAAGGCTCTACCCTTGATATCCAGTCGAACTCTTCTTTCCCTACCCTGGACCCCCAACCAAGTTGCTCTGAGTCATGTTCCATCTACTCCCTACCCTACCTGTTGGCTATGAATCCCCACCTTCCCCTGTTGCATTGGGAGCTAAAGTCAGTCTCCCTCCCCTGTTGCAATAGTCTTGAATAAAATCTTCTTGTTGTGTTTAACAAGTGTCTGGTGAACTGTTTCTCTTTAATACCTTTTACCTCATAAATATGGTTGAAAAAACTCCACAGAAACCCAGCACGGACAATGGGAATCGATGGAAGATGTGCTGGCATTCTGACACCAAATTCATCACCTGTGTTACGTACAGAAGGTGTAGAATCACCCCCCACCCAGCACGTATCCCCATGGAAAAGTCAATCGCGAATTATGAAGCTTTGAACTGTGGGAAGAATTAAAAAATGCACCCCTTGCTTAGCACCCAGTGGTCCCTTACAAATACAGGAAGCATTCTGGAAGGACATGCATCAGAATTCTGAGTGGCGGGATTCCAGGTGAATACCTTTCTTTGCATTGTCCTAGTTCCCTGTTTCAAAAATACAGCCAGTTCTTCTTATTCACAGATCTCCTATGTGCAAATTCACCTACCTGCTAAAATTCGTTTGTGATCCCAAAATCCATACTCGTGGCGCTTTCCTGACCATAAATAAAATAAAATCTGAAGCACACTGTATGATGTGCCTTAGGGAGAAAACATGGGTATTGGAGAAGCTTCCTGGCATGAGTTATCGTGCAGTTGGCCATGAGTCCAAACTTAATTATGAATATCAAATAAAGCATCTTTAAAAAATTACAACAATATTGTGTACTGATTGGTTGACCTATCTGTGACCAGAGATTCCAGATCCTCACCCTGCATTTCCCCCGGGGAATGCTGTGGTGTCCAAGGAGCCTTTATGGACCCTAACTGCCCCGAGTAACCAGAATCACCTGCGTCTTCCTGATGTCATGAGGAAGGAGAGCGCTGGGTCTGGGACGCAGGTTGCACGCAGGGGTGTGGTCCCAGCTGGGATGGAATCGAAAGGAAGCAGACACAAACTGGCGGGAGGTTACGCACGCCGGGCTCTGGACTGACTGAGCGCTTGACACTCACATGTGAGTTCACCTCCACACTTTCCTGAGGAATCGGCTTTGTCACCTTTAGCTCTCCTGTGGGCACAGAGGCTCAGAGGGTTATGCTTGCCTGTCTCTGTCCAGCAGCTAGTGAGGGGCAAGGCAGGACTTGGTCGGTGTTTGTCATGAGGGTTGGGATGGACCAGGACAAGAAGTGTGTGCTTCTAGCCCCATTCACTGATGCAGATGGTAAGACGAGAGTAGTTGGCCAATGGTAGGTTGAGCGTGGGACTTATGTGTCCAAAATCAGTGGTGCTTCCATCCATCCAGACATGGAGGGAGGTGCTCCCGACCTGGGATCTGGGTATTTCCATCACCGCCCAGGTGGCCCCAGCAGTCAGTTCGCTGGTAACTGCCCCAGTCCAGTTTAGAGGTTGTCATATTTGCTAACCGATTTATTTTCTCTCACTGTGAAGGTTCTGCCACCATGAACTCCAGTGAATTCCGAAGGAGAGGGAAAGAGATGGTGGATTTTGTGGCTGACTACTTGGAAGGCATTGAGGGGCGCCAGGTCTACCCCGATGTGGAGCCCGGCTACCTGCGGCCCCTGATCCCCACCACTGCCCCCGAGGAGCCAGACACATTTGAGGACATCCTCAACGATGTTGAGAAGATAATCATGCCAGGGGTAAGTCTGGACCCAATGCTGCGAAACAGAAGGGTTAGCATTAAGGTGGCACCTGCTGGGAATTGGGCAGGTCACACGTGTTATGCTAGGTGGAGTCCTATGCTAGGCATAGGTCCTCACGGCCACCTTGCTGGTGAGCCAACGGAGCCAATGGAGGCCCAGAGAGGTTAGGTGTTCAGCCTGAGGTCACACAGCTAGTAAGTGATGGGGCCAGGACTGCACCCCGGATTGTGTGGACTCCTAGGGCAATGAGTATGCTTTCCTCCATAGATCCCCAGGTCAGGCCCCACCCTGAGCCCCTGGTACATGCGTGAGCCCTCATAGGACCTTTGGGGGACATAGACCCCTGGTGGTTTGTTTCAAGTAAGTTCCTTGCTCAAAATAAAGCAAGCACATTTCTAACATTCTTGTGTTTAGCAAGGCAAATTGCATGCCTGGAAGAAATTATTTTACTTGAGAATGGGGGGGTGTGTGACCCTGCTTCTGGGCAGATTCTGTCCATGGAGGCAGACCTCTTTATCTGAAGCCACTGAGTCATGGGGCCACCGAGTCAGGGCAGGGCTGTTCCTCCAGACCAGAATGCCTCTTTCAGACCTGCTGCTCACTTTCCATCTCCCAGGGGTTTCCCTTGACATTTGGGCTTGGAGCGAACTGGTGGATTCTCGTTCTCGCCTTTGAGGTTGTGCAAACACACTGAGTCACTCCGCACTACAGCACTAAGCCCTTCCAGGCGAGGTGTGGTTAAATGTCAGGCAGAGGGGGTGGTAAAACACTCTGGGCCTGGGTGGCTCAGACCACAGACATTTATTTGCTTCTCATAGTCCCGAGATTGGGAGCGTGAGATCAAGGTGCCAGCAGATTTGGTTCCTGGTAAGGATTCTCAGCCTGGCTTGTGGACGGCCGCCTCTGGGCATCCCTCACACCCCACTCCTAATGTCATTACAGTGTGGGCTAGGGCTTCAACATAGGAATTTGGGGAGCACAAACATGCCCTCCATAACGGGGGATGTGGGAGACAATAGAATTTGGAGTTTTCTGGCGGTGTGATAAGGGGGCATTCAATGTGCAGAGCTGCGCTGGGATGTGCACGGTCCTGGGTCTCTGGGTCCCTGGGTGGGTTGCAAGGGACATCGGGGCTCCTGTCTGCAGGTATGCAGAGTGAGCGCAGGAATATCCATCTCGAGCGTGATGTGAGCATCAGTTGAGCGTGAAAGCAAAGGTGCAGGGATCCCCAGTGGAGAATGACTCCTGTCCTTCGCCAGGTGTCAGGGCAAGCAGGGAGGGGACACAGTGAGGGGCCTTTGGGGGCCCACTCGCACTCCCGTGGGCCCCTTCCTCCTTAGAAATATGGGAATTTATAATTTGCAAAGGCACTGACATGGACATGAATGTATTAGCATTAGATTACTTTTTTTCCCTGGACCTGAATGTTTACTTCTTCCTTCTGATTCTTCAAAGAAATTAAAATATTTTCTGGGCCCCTAAAAGTATCTTGTAGGCCCTAGACACTGGACCTGCCATTCCCTATACCCCTTTCAGCTCCAGCAGCAGCCTCTCGTGCCTGAGCCCCCCAGGCTGGGACTGTGCTGAGCTTCTAGCTCTCTCCAGACCATTGCCCCCTCCTTCTTGGTCCCCACAAGCTCCTGGCCACCCCTGCCCCCACCCCAGACCGAATCCCCTGGTCCTCCCTGGGTTTCTGTAGTATGTGTCCATCCCTCCCCTGCTCAGTGCTCCAGGAGCATCCATGCTGGCTCCCCGCCCTCAACCTGGGGTGGGGAGTGACCGTGGCGGGAGCAGGACTGGTCTTAAGTCCCCAGGACCGCTCCCAGTTCTCAGAGACTCCCAGTCGGCTACCTTCACAACCAGGGTGGTCTTTTGTGCCACATGGGGCCCAATGGACAGTTTGTAACTAGTTTATTAAAGATGTATTCCCATTTTTCTCCAGACCATGAAAATGAGGCGTGTTGGCAAGAATACCTCCACTGCCCAGGGGCGGAGGGTGTCTTTTTTTTTCTTTTTTTAAGATTTTATTTATTTATTTGACAGAGAGAGACACAGGGAGAGAGGGAACACAAGCAGGAGGAGCGGGAGAGGGAGAAGCAGGCTCCCTGCTGAGCAGGGAGCCCGATAAGGGGCTCAATCCCGGGACCCTGGGATCGTGACCTGAGCCGAAGGCAGACGCTTAATGACTGAGCCACCCAGGCGCCCCGAGGAGGGTGTCTTAAATGCTTTATTTATTCTGTTCCCTCCTGACAGGCTGGTCAACAGCCCCTCCTTCCCCCATTTTCTCCCCTCCCCCACTTCTTCCCAGACTCTGAGATGTTCCCAGCCAGTCCTGCTTTCCCATTCCCAGCGGGCTTGCCGGGCCCCTGCCTCCCTAACCGGGCATGTCCTTGCACATCTGCTCCCTGCCCCCTGACACCCCGGTGTGGCCCCACTGCTGCCCCAGCCTGGGCCCCCCCACAGCAAGGCTGCGGACAGAAGAGAGGAGGGATGTGGGGGGTGATGGAGCTAGGGTTGCTGGAGGGGTGACTTGCATAGGAGATTGAGTTGGTGGCAGGAAGACCAGCTGAAGAATCTGTGAAATCGGGTTTGGTTTTTCTTTTCTAATATGGATTTTACCTTTTTAGAGCAGTTTTAGGAAAACGAGGCTTCTAACCAGGGAGATGGGCCTCTGTTGTTGCTCTTTCTCTGCCAAGTGCACCTAACCAGGATATAAGATACAGTGTTGCTTTTTCAAGACCTCACCTGCCGTGTCGGCAAGCAGAGGGGACCTGGGTCCTCCCCACGCGGGGCTGGGCTCCCTCACACCCCAATGTCTCCACACAGGTGACCCATTGGCACAACCCCTACTTCTTCGCCTACTTCCCCACGGCCAACTCGTACCCAGCCCTGCTTGCAGACATACTGTGTGGGGCCATCGGCTGCATCGGCTTCTCCTGGGTGAGCTCGGGGTGACCCTGGGGGATCCTGGCAATGGTGGGAGATGCTGCTGTGGGGACAGGGCTCCTGTGCCCACAGGACCTGAGCAGGTGGTGGTGGCACCTGTGGGAAGGGAGAAGGACTCAGCCTTGGAGAGAGTGCCTCATAAGGGAACTTGGAATTCCGGGAGATAGAAGGAGAGAAAGTCTCCTTTCTGGAAAAGAGCCCAGTTCTGCGTAGCAGCACTTCTTCTTTTTAGGGGTACTCGGTATGAATTAAAATCACAGCCAAGGCCCTGGAGTTTCTGCAGCCCACGCCTGGGCATCTGCATTCCTCCCGAGCATTCCAGAGGATTTCTACATACTCTGCAGCTGCCTGGGGCTCATTCCATCTGTCTGCAGCCTGGAGAGGCCCCCGCCCATCACCCGCATGGAGTGATGCGGGGCAGGCAGCTCTGGAAATGGGGCCAACTCCTGCCCCCCATGCCAGACGTCCTGGCGGCACCTCATCTGGGGATAAAATACCAGAGGACCGACCAGGCTTGGCTCCTCTGTGTGGCTCCCTGCTCCCAGGCCCAGTGCTACTGGAGGGATTCCCTCCTCCCTAAATGCAGAACACTCAGAAGTAGAGCGATGGCCTGCCAACAGCATCGGGGATCCCAGGGCCTCCTGGGTCCAAAGTGCCACCTGGCTCGTGCCTTGGAGCTGAGTGGACGCATGGGTGCTGACTCGTGCTGCCCAAGGACCCAAGGCAGGTGAAGGAGGTGTCGGTTTATGAATGCTTAGTGCCGAGCAGCGGGACCCAGCATCTCCCAGCTCCCCCCAACCTGCCTCGCTTGCTCTTTAGACCGAGACTTCCATCTGTCTGTCTGTCTGTCCGGAGTTGCTGGGAGACGGAGTCAGCCTCCCAGGAAGGGTTGGGGGGGGTCATTCCAGGCTCCCTGCCGTGGCTCTCTGAGCTGCTCTCTGCCAGGTGCCGAGAGCAGCATGAACACGGACAGGGTGGCCTCGGTCACCTCCTCCCTTTGTCTTTGCTGAGCACCCCTTTCTGAAGGACACTTTCTTTCATGAGCTAGCTCGGCTAGTCCAGAGCCATCCTGTCCCTTCGGGGTGACTCGGCATCTATCCCATTATGTCTGTTCTTTCTGCGGACACTCTGATTTCTCTGGAGCCTGGGAGGGCTGCCTCCCTGCCCCTCGGCTGTGCTGGCCAAGACATGGGTTCCTAATAGTGAATGCAGTTCCCACGCCTGGAGCTGGTCTTGGCTAGGATGGGGTAGGACCCTCCCCCAGGGCAGACTAGCAGGCAGAACATTCTGCTCGTTCTTACCAGCCATGCATCATGGGCTGGTATGCACCCTTGGGTGGGGACCAAGCCAACCTGTCCTCGCCCCTGTGCGATGACAGAGGAGCGTCCAAGATTGCAGAGCACCATCTCGAGCCCATAAAAGGCGAGGTCAACGACCTGCCCCGGGGGCTCCCAGGGGATTCGGGCCACCTGGAACCCACCTCCCGGACTGCGTCCAGTCTCACTGCTGCTCTCACTTGTGACTATATAGGAGAATCCACCAGTGTGTCTTTCTAGATCCTTCTGTATATACACAGATGTGGCTAGATGGGGCTGCATGTGGTGCTGGTGGAGCGCAGCCCAGTGCACTGGGGTCATTCTGGGCTGTGCCTTCCATCCCGGCCATTCTCCCACGAGTCCTGCTCAAAGGGCACAGGTCTGAAACTCCTTTCAGCTCATTTCAGGCGTTTGAACAGCCTCTGGGGCTGGGAGATTTTAATCTGAGGTTTAGTGGAAGAGTAAAACCTCCTGCTGCTCCCCAAGTCCTGCAAGACCCGGCCCTTGTTTTGACACCAGCCTCTAGAGATGGGGGATGGGGAGGTCACCGTCCCTCCTGGGGCAGATCTGGGATCTGGGGATTGTGGTTCCCTCAGTTCTTCGAGGGCGAGAAAGAAGAGGGATGGCGTGTGTGCTAAGCATTCCGCACAGCACGTGCCCAGAGTGGCCCCCCCTATTGCTTCAGAGCTTCCAGAGCGAGGGGTCCTGTGGCTGTGCCCACTTGGTGGGTAAGAGGGGAGTGGGGGGAGGACAAGTCTCAGCTGATGCTTCTCCCTGGGACCCCTGGGTGGGAGAGCATGCCATCACATTAACGCTACCCAGGGATGGGCCTTTTGCAAATGTTTAAGCCTTTGTATGAAACTGATGCTGAGATCCTAAGTGACAGAGCGTACCCGTCCATGACAAGCCAGCAGGTGGCTGATTCCGGGCTTCCCTCCCTGCTAGGCCGCGAGTCCGGCGTGCACAGAGCTGGAGACCGTGATGATGGACTGGCTGGGGAAGATGCTGAAGCTGCCAGAGGCATTTTTGGCAGGGCAAGTGGGAGAAGGGGGCGGAGTGATCCAGGTAAGCAGCAGGGGAGGGGTGTTCAGCTTCCCAGGATGCTGAGGGTGACGTCCCAGGGCCATAGTGGCAGGTGGGAAAAAAAGAGGTGCTTGAGCTTCCTGTGTGTCCTTCTGGGGAACAAGCAGTCAGGAAGCCTCTGGATCTGGATTTGGGTCCTGGCACTCTCTGTCCCTCCCTCCCCCAGGCTCCATAGATCAAAGTGGCGCCTGAGCACTTTGCAGGCATTAATTCGTTTAATTCTACAAAAGACTAGGAATTAGGGGCCATTTTAACACCATTTGACAGGCAAGGGCACTGAGGTGCAGAGCCGTGGGGTGACTGGCCCACCAGCCCCCCCCCCCAGCCCCCTGATGATAAGTTCTAGAGCTGGGCTCTGAGCCTACCTCTGTCTGACTGCAGAGCCGTGACTGCCACCACCCCGATCACTGTCCTTCGAGCAGGGAGCGCAACTGTGACAGAGTCCTTCCACAGCTTCTAGAAAGTTCTATGTCAATGAGAACCAAGGTCACTTGACGTTGCTGCCTTTTCTACGCACCGTGTCATTCATTCTCTTCTTTGGACGTGTGTTGTTGACAGCAATGATGTCCCAGGCATTGTCAGGGGCAAGTCAGGCACCAGGGATAGTCCCCTCCCCCCGGGAGCCTCCGGACAAATGCACCAAGGAAATGTGGGCTTTGTGCTCTTTCTATTTCCCAGCATGCACGATGGGCTCTGTTGAACCCACCACCCTCCTTGACATCATTTTTCTGGTGTCAAGTATATGACATTGAAATTGGGAAAGCACCATTGAATTTAAAGGCTCCGGGACTCAGTTAAAGCAACTGTTAATCTGCCCATGGGCCAGTGAAAGTGCTGAGGCCCAGATTGTGTGCCATCACCTGTCTGGTGTGGCCAAAGTCAAGTAGGAAGCAAGCCCCCACTGCCCGGTGCTGGCCTGCTGCTCACCCAGACCAGGGCTTCTGACTTCCGTGTGTCCGTTTTCTGTTGCTGTTGCTGCAAATTTTGGTGGCTTAAAACAGCACAAACCTGGGGCGCCTGGGTGGCTCAGTCGTTAAGCCTCTGCCTTCAGCTCAGGTCATGATCTCAGGGTCCTGGGATCGAGCCCCGCATCGGGCTCCCTGCTCAGCTGGGAGCCTGCTTCTCCCTCTGCCTCTGCCCCTCCCCCCTGCTTGTGCTCTCTCTCTGTCTTTCTCTGACAAATAAATAAATAAAATCAGAAAAACAAACAAACAGCACAAACCTATCATCTTACAATTCTGTAGCTCAGGCGTCTGACACCCGGGAAGCTCCAGGCGAGCATCTTGCCTTGCCTTTTCTAGTTTCTGGAAGCTTCCCACAGTGCTGGGCCATGGCCCCTTCTCCATCTCCAAAGCCCACAGCGTTCCATCTCTCTGACCCCTCTTTCTCAGTCACGTCTCCCTCTGACTACAGATGAGGAAGGTTCTCCACTTTCAGGAGCCCCCTCAAATAATCCAAGATAATCCTGTGTCATGGCTCTTAATCACATCGGCAAGATCCCTGTCTCCACGTAAACACTCACAGCTTTGGGATTAAGACCTGGACATCTTTGGGAGGCCTTATTTGGCCAACTGCACGCACTTTGCGTCAGAGTCACGGAGGGAGTCCTAGACCCGACCCCTCAAGCTTGGACTCGACAGGTCTTGGCTCAGGAAGGGGCATTCCTGGGCCCAGCTCAGGTCACTCCGAAGAGCCACGTGCTGGGACTGCTGGCTGACTTCTTTGCGGCCAACAGGCCACCGTGGCCAGGCTCGGAGCCCTTCCCTCTGTCCTCTCCTGCCTTCCCGTCTCCGGTTCTCGAAACTTCCATCCTCCGACACTGATTCTGAGCAGGTTTCAGTTTGAGGCCGTGAGCCAGCCTTAAACGTGAACACAGTAGAACAAGGATTTCCTCACAAGGGCAAACTATTTCAGCTCCCCGGACCCAGGGCGAGGCTGTCATGTACCTGCTGGCCTCAGGGAGGGAGGCTGCGCCCCTCCCCTGCTCCTCACCTTGGAAGAGGTTGGCGGCTCTGCAAACTCCAGAACAGCCGACCTGGTTCTCCAGAGGCCACCACGGCGGTCCCTCCTCTAAGGAAGGGCAGAGTCCAGGTACTGATAGAAGAGCAGGCAGCCGCAGCAGGGCAGAAGGAGAGCAGAGTTTCGGGGAGGGGACTTTGGCTTTGAATCCTACTTGACTCAGTTCCAGGTCTGGGGAGAGCTCACACTCCCGGCCACCTGGATGCTGGCAGCAGACTTTACTTTTCCTTTGTAATTCCACACAGTGTGCCCAGATCCACTTTTCTCATCTGTCCCATTCACTCTGAGCGCCCCCCACCCCCTTCCGCCCCCCTGTTGGGTGAGCCCTATTAATCCAGACTCAGCTCCTTCTTCCCCGCCCTGGGGAAGTCTTGCTTCTGCTGCACCTGTCACTGTGGGCCGCCTTCCCAAAAGCCCTTTGTGGGTTTTCCAGGACCTTCCATTTTCCACAAGGCGGCCACCTCTCCTGTCATTTCCAGCTTTCTTAGGTTATTTTCCTTTTTTGGTCATTTTCTCCTCTCTGTTTTGGAGGGAATTGCTCATCGTTGTCTCCACACCAGTTTCCATTTTCCACATTGCCCGTTTATCCCTTCAAGATCCACTTTGGTTCTGCTATTCCTCTTTACAAAAGTGTCGTCCCCTTTTCATTCATGAAAACCAGACCCATGGGGCTCCTGGGGGCATCAGTCGGTTAAGTGTCTGCCTTCAGCTCCGGTCATGATCCCAGGGTCCTGGGATGGAGCCCCGAAACGGGCTCCCTGCTCAACAGGGAGTCTGCTTCTCCCTCTCCTGTTCCCCCTGCTTGTGCTCTCGCGCTCTCTGACAAAAAAAAAAAAAAAAAAAAAGATAGAGAAAAGCAGAACTTGACAGTAAAAATGGAAAAGATACAGGACTGTTTTGGGGGCAGACTTCTGGTATTATTTCAGTCCTTGCATGTGTGTGTGTGTGTGTGTGTGTGTGTGTGTGTGTGTGTGTGTGTATACAAGATTGGGATAATACAATATTTTCTGGATGGTATTTTACCCACTATTTTGTTGGGAGCATTTCCCATCCTTTGAGGATATTATTACATTATTTTCTACGATGCATCACAGTTTATGTAAATAATACATGACATACATTGTATCAGATTTTCCCCTTTATAAATAACATCTCAGAGGATACCATTTAGGGCAAGTGCAACGATCTTCTAAGGAAATTATCGCCTTCCTGCTGAGGCTCTCTGAATTAAGACCATATCCACTGTTCATGCTCCACAAAAAGTCAAAAAAAAAAAAAAACCCACAAAAATAAAAAGAGTGTTTCTGGGTCATTGGATCTTACGACTAAAACAATTTCGCATTCGGCTCTTTTCAGTCGGCCGAGATGATTCTTCTAATTTGATGCTTCTCAAAAATCTTACAAATACCCCATAATCTCAGGCATGCCCTTTATACCAACAGTAACTTTTTACTGAATGCCCTCTCTGGGCTAGGCTTATTCCTAGTGCTTCATGCGATCCTCTTTCAACCTGCAAATAGTTATGAGGGTTGACTGCATTATCAATGACTTTCCTCATCACTGAGGAACCTGGAGCCAAGAAAGGGAGCGTATCGTGCCCAAGAGCGCAAGCTAACTAGAGGCAAGGCAAGGACGAATTCCACCAGCTCATCTGTGACTCTTGGTTTGGGTTAGAGTATCCAGAGGTTCATCTTGCAATTATCCTTACTTTAAAGACAATCCCATTTTGCAGAGGCACCGGCCGCCCCAGCATCAGTTGGGAATCATCCTGGCCTCTCTTGGCCCCTGGGGTCAAATCCTCCTTCGAGCCCAGGTCCCTCCGTGTTGCTGTATGAGCGCATGCAACCGTGTCTGTCTGCAGCAGGAAGCCCACCCTGCCCAGCTGACGAGGCTGATTGTCTGCAGTCTGTGAGACCCAGACAGCACCACGGCCTGGTGACCGCCGCGGGGCCAGAGCTGTGGAGGGACGCTGCGCCCCTCCAGGCCATAGTCCCAGCTTCTAGATGTCAGCATGGTGACAGGCAACAGAGTCAAATGGCAAGTCATCCTCTGAGCTGGACAAACCGGGCCGGAAAATGGTCTCTTAATTGGGTTTGAAAGCTCTTGTGGAAGAAAAGCCAATTGCTCGCCGTGTGTGTGGTAACCCTTGAAACACCCAGAGGAGGAAAGGGCGGTTCTGGCCCCTGAGTCACTTGTCACCAGCATTTCCTTCTGCTTCGTAGCCGGCTTGCCATGGCAACCTTTGTTCCTGCTGCAGTAAAGCTAAGATGTCATTACACAGCCTCAGTTCCAGAACAGACCCCCTGCTCCTCTCTCCCGGGCAAAGCTCAGCTCAGCTTTCCACAAAGGGCCGGAAATCTGCCTGAATCTGACTTCAGGGCCGGAGCCTGTGGGCTGCCCGGGAGCCCCTGAGCTCTGGAGACTCCACTGAGGATTTCATTCTTTCGTTGGGCATTGTATGGGTTCAATCACTTTTGGCTGCGTGAAGGAGGGGAGCTTTGTCTCAGCACATGGACAGAGCGGAGAGGCAAACCCCATAATGAATTAGCACGGCAATTCAAAGCCTTTCCTTAGCAAGTGGTTCAGGGGAGAACAGATCTTTGGGGGTCAAGGCCGCAGGCAGAGGGTGGGAGGTAGGGAGGGGGCTGCAATCCCACATGGGTGCTGGGGACCGAACAAGGCAGATGATCCCAGCACTCAGAAGCTGTGTCTTTCGGGAAGCTTCTCCTGGTTCTCTTCCGATGAGAAGGAATGAGCCAGCGGATCCAGGACACACACACTGTGGGGCACAGGAGGAAGCCCAGGCCACTGGAGTGGGAGGTCCAGTGCCTGCCCTCAGGGAGCTTGGATTCCCTGTGATGGCCCATTTAGCCTTGCCAGCCCTGTTTCTTCATTTTGCTGTATGAGCGCAGGCAACCGTGTCTGTTCACGGCAGGAAGCCCACCCTTCCCAGCGGACAAGGCTGATCGCAACAATCTGTGAGGCCCCAGACAGCCCCGCACGGTCACCAAGCCCACGTCCAGAACCTTTGTTCTAATACCACTTCTACAGTGATTGCTCAAGACAAGATGGCCTGAAGAAGTGCAAAACCCACCTCACAGGCCAAATTAAGAAGATCGTATCGTGTATACTTGAGTCCATGCATTTGAGCTACAAAACTCCCGAGTCAATGTATTTATGTTCAAACTTCACCCTCCTCCCTGTAGGATATGTGTTGGCTTAGAAGAATGAGTAAAAACATCGAAATGGTAAAACAGAAGAGGAAATCAGGATCGCTGAAGGGAAAGGAAGATGAAATGTTAACGGGGGAGGTTGATCTAATGATTTTCTTGTATATTTCTCTGCAAAAACCCTAAAATCTTACAAATCTCTCATACTCGACCAAAATCTACCTTCTTTTATTTTTTTCCTTTCTAATGTTAATACTGTCCCGCTCCTGGGTTTCTTCTAGGATTTACTTAAGATGCAGTGATCGTGAGCAGTGGTGATCATGAGCAGTGGGAAGGGGGGACATGGCCATACATGTGGGGACCCCCCCCCGCCTGGAAGGCAGCTGGGACTCCCTGCTATCCCTGCCACTTGCTAGCTGCTCACCTGGACCAAGTTAGTCCCTCTCTTGCTGGGCATCCATTTCCCACCTGATGATGACAGAATTAAAAAACACGGTTATTTCGCAAATTACAGGGGCAGGCATAGTGAGGCGGAATCCGCTTCCTACGCGCAGGGCAATCAGCTTTGCAGCTTCAGATTCCTCTTTTAAGAAAAATAGGGACGCTAATGCCTCCCAACAGTTTCAACATTGATTCCTTTGCTGCCCCTCGAAGCTCATCGCGACCTTTTCTTCGATCCAGGGAAGTGCCAGCGAGGCCACTCTGGTGGCTTTGCTGGCCGCTCGGACCAAGGTGGTGCGCCGCCTCCAGGCTGCCTCCCCGGGGCTGACGCAGGGCGCCATCATGGAAAAGCTAGTGGCCTACTCATCGGATCAAGTGAGTGCAAAGCCCCACTGAGCCTCTAAGATCTGAATCTTTGTTTTGTGTCCAATCCAATCCAAACAAAACCATGCGGCATTTCAGACATTTCCACAGCCGTGCTTGGACATGGGTGTTTGATATTCTGTCAGTGTGCATGTGAGTTCATGCAGGTCCAGGGGGGTGACCGGCCAGGGTCACAGGGGGGAGCGCCTGGGGAGCTTGGAATCCTGCACCTCCTGTCGCCCATTGGGAGCCACAGTGGGATCCAGACCCCAGGACAGAGTCGAAGAGGAGACAGTGATGGTGGGAGCCACAGGGCAGAGAGGGGCACCTTCAGTAAGAGCTGGCCTTCCTGGGAGGCCCCGAGCCACAATGGATCCACCATCCCACAATGGTGCCGTGTCCTTGGCTCCTTTTCTCCAGAAACCATGTGCTGAGCGTGGCCCCCAAGCGGCCCAAGGCCCCATGGTGAGAGGAGCCCCCAGATAAGAACCTGGGTGTGCTCACTCTGCTCACTGCTTGCTCACTAATCTGAAAAGCGAGATTCCACAGAACCCGAGACAACACCGGGAATGAGGTACAGGGGGGACGCAGAGGGCCTGCAGCACGGGGAGCTCTCTGCAGAGCCGGGGGCTCACGGCCACTGCACACGGCACGCACATGCATGCAAGAATCTAACTCCGATGCCTTCCTTCCAGGCGCACTCCTCGGTGGAAAGAGCCGGATTAATCGGAGGAGTGAAAATAAAAGCCATCCCTTCGGATGGCAAGTTTGCCATGCATGCTTCTGCCCTGCAGGAGGCCCTGGAGAGAGACAAAGCGGAGGGCCTGATTCCTTTCTTCGTAAGTCAACCAGGCATGTTGGGTATGGGCCCCTGGGAGTCTCCGAGCCCTGCCTGCTTGCCGTGCTGGTCACAGGCTATGCGGTCCTTGTGTGGCCATGTGGCCACTCCTTGAGGGAGGCTGGAGCAACACTCCATTTAATTTTCCCTCCGCCTGCCTAATCCCAGAAAGAAGGAAACAGGGCACCCGGCCCGGAGGATCCTGATAAGCCAAGAAGTCTTATTTCTGCTCCTGTTAAAAGTGACACCAGGTGATCATCCCTTGACTGCCCTCTGTGCCAATGTAGATGCTCTGTCATGAGGAATGGATGATGGACCAGTGAACCAAATTAAAAATAAAACCCAGAAGGCCTCACCGCCTAGATCAGTATTCTTAGCAGATACCAAGATGCGTCATTTGCAAGAGATGTGTTGCAAGCAATTATCGGTAAAATATCTAACTAGACAAATAGCACCAGGTTTCTGCCCATCTTGTGCACAAATGGGCATTTTCCAGTGGGGAGGAAATACTTGGTGTTGCAACTAGAGCAGTTAGACATGGGAGTTGTCACACCCCATGAGGCCACTGTGGGATGCAATGTCGTGTGTCATGACAATTAACAGTGATCTTGGCACTAGCCTCATGGTGTTCAACCTGGCTGCACACCAGACATACCTGGGGAGTGTTGAAAATATATTGATGCCCAGGCCCTGCCCCAGTTACTTTTACCAGAATTTCTGGAGAGGGAGCCAGGCCTTAGAAGCTCTTCATAGCCGGGGCGCCTGGGTGGTTCCGTGGGTTAAGCGTCCGACTCTTGATTTTGGCTCAAGTCATGATCTCAGGGTCCTAGGATCGAGCCCGGAATTGGGCTCCGCACTGGGTGTGGAGTCTGCTTGAGATTCCCTCTCCCTCTGCCCTGCCCTCCCCCAAATAAAAAAATAAATAAATCTTAAAAAGAAACGGAAGCTTTACATAACAATTTCAAGATGCTCATGTGCCTCCTGAACAGTCCTCGGTGTCTGAGCGTTTCCTAGCTGTTAGAGCAATCTAGGTTTGGTAGACTTTTATGGGCTGCGTGTTACTCATGCCCACTATTTTTTTAATTTAAGGTTTAATCTTCGAGACAAGCTTTTTTTTTCTCCAAAGAAATTGTTCCTATCAATGCAAATGAACTACCCCTCATTGAAAATCTAACTTGTGACTGGGGAAGGCATGGAGGGTATGGTTTGATACAAAATTTGATCCTGATTTATGGAGTTCCCAGGGGGAATCCAGATCATCTATACCAATAATTACACTGTAGAGGGATGAAGAAGATTCAGATGTAGCTCGTGGGAGGAGCTGATGGCCAAGGCAGGTGTCTGCCTGTGATCAAGGCTGGCCCAGAGGTCATCTGAGTCACCCTGTCCTGCTTCATTTCCGTGTGCTGCATGACACCCATATTTATTTGTGTATTTGTTTGCTGCCTCCTTCTTCCCACCCTACTGCAAACTATGTGAAGGGAGGGTCCGTGTAATCAACGCGTTATCCCAGCTCCTGGAACCTGCCCCTGACACTTAGCAGACGCTCAATAAATATTTGTCAAAGATTTGGAAGGGAGATCATTCTTGTTAGAAAGACTACCTTTAAAATTCCCACATACAATTTCAGGATAGTTTGAAAGGACTCTATTTAAACGAGGTAAATATTTTTGAAGCTGTACCAGCAATCTTCTAAGACTCATTAGAATATCCCGCCTAAGGAAAAATAAATATATTAAGACCCACTCTTGCAGATTTGAAGAACGAAAGCAATGGAATAGACCACATAAAATGATGAGAAGATTTCATTTCATAAAACCTACAAAACTCATGGGACACCTGGGTGGCTCAGTAGGTTACATGTCTGCCTTTGGCTCAGGTCATAATCCTAGGGTCCTGGGATCGAGTCCTGAGTTGGTTTCCTTGCTCAGCGGAGAGTCTCCTTCTCCCTCTCCCTCTGCCTGCCACTCCCCCTGCTTGTGCGTGCTTGCTCTCTGACAAATAAATAAAATCTTTAAAAAAAAAACAAAAAACCACAAAACTCATAAACAAAATAAAAAGACAAATGTTGGCAGGAAATAGAATGTATATTATAAAGTAAATCTTAGAGGAGGCTCACATCTCAATAAGCAAATAGGCAACATTCCAGTGGGAAAACAGACAAAATACAAAAACAATTGGTTCCCCATTCAATCACAGCAAAGCAAGAACACAAATCAGTTTCCATCTTCTAATAACCAAGGCCTTGCAAATCGGCTCTTGAGAGAGGCATGCGAGCATCCCAGCTGTGGGGGTAGACATACCCATGACTTCTTTTGTGGCCGGCTAGGTTTCTCTTACGTAGTTTAAGGTTTTAGTAGTCAGCCACACTCACATCTAGAATTGTCCAAACTTCCTGCAGAATGACCCATGTATCCTTGAGAGATGCTCCCTTAGTCTTCTGCTTGAACTGACGTCCCTGCAATGACGTCTGGTTTCCATTGGTTAGTCAGTGGTCCTGGGATACATTGTTTCCTTTCCTGTGTACCTTTCTGTTCTCATACTTGTATCTCCTGTAGGCAGTAGGCCCTTGTTGCTGGGTTATTGTTTTTTGTCTTTTCATCTGTTTATAAATCCAACATGACAGTTTTTCTTAATTTTCTCCATTTACCTAAGGAAATTATCGATACATTTAAAAGCATTTCTACAATCTTACTATTTGTTTTCCATCTGGTCCGCCTCTCATATGATGGTTTTTCTAGGCTTTCTTGTCTTAGACTATCAAATGTTTTATGTTATTCCATTTTCTTAATTTTTAGCTTACGAGCTTTATCTTATTTTCTTATTACGCCTCCCCTCCCCTTTTGTGCTATTATTGTTATATATTTTAATTCTACGTATATTTAAAATCCCATGAGACATCGTTATTTTATATAGCCGATATTTATTTATATAAATCTCATATTTCTCTTTCTGCTGATCTTTCTTTCCTGCATTTTCTTACTTTCACCTGGGATCATTTTTTTTTTTCTGTCTGAAAAACTGTCTTGAGAATTTTGCACTTTGATACAATTGCCTCCGTTCTTGTTTTTCTGAAAATGTCTTTACTTTGCCTTCGCTTTCGAATGATATTTTTGCTGGGTCTGGAGTTCCAGGGTGGACGGTCTTTTCTTTTGGCAGATTAAATACATGAGCCCATTGCACGTCGGTTGTCAGTCTCAGAGTGGCTTTTAGGCATGTAGTGTGGAAACGTTGACTTTTTCCCTCTGGTGGCTTGTAGCATTTGCTTTTTGTCTTTGTGTCTAGGCGGTTTTGGTAGGATGCAAACCAATTGTTTCTTTGTGCTGATTCTCCTTGGGTTTCATAGAACGTCCAGAATCTGTGATTTGTCATTTCTTTGGGGAAATCGTCAGTTGGGGAAGTTCTTTTTTTTTTTTTTTTTAAGATTTATTTATTTATTTGAGAGAGAGAGAGAGAATGAGTGGAGGGAGGGGCAGAGGGAGAGGGAGAGAGAGAAACTCAAGCAGACTTCCCGCTGAGTGCGGAGCCAGACGAGGGGCTCAGTCTCACGACCCTGAGATCATGACCTGAGCCAAAACCAAGAGTCAGATGCTCAACCAAGCTACCCAGGTGCCCCTATAGCTCTCTTAAAAAAAAAAAAAAAACCACTGAATAGTATTCCATTGTCTGGATGTACCTATCAAAGGACATTAAGATGCACCCATTTCTGAGTCAGGGGTTTTCCAGCACCACCAAGCAATTAACTCAGTTCTGATACTATTTACCAGGAGACAGCATTAGACCCCACAGGCGAAGGGCTCAGTCCTACAAGACTGCCCCACTTCAGTTGCCACTTGTAACTCCAGGTTGTCACGTGATCAACAGCTATAGATCAGAAATTCCAGCGAGCCCCATCCTTGGGTTTGATTACTGTGTTAGAGCAGCTCACGGAACTCAGATACACATTTGACTTGCTAAATCACTGGTTTGTTATAAAAGGATATAACTCAGAAACAACCAGATGAAAGAGATGCCTGAGGCAAGGTCTGGGGAAGGGGTATGGAGCTTCCATGCCCTCTCCTGCTGCCATTCTCTCCAAATCTCCACTTGTTCACCAGCCTTGAAGCTCTCCAAACCCCCTTTGGGGTTTTTATGGAGGCTTCACTACACAAGCACAATTGATTGAATCGTTGGTCACTGGTGATTGAACTCAATCATCAGCCCCCTCCCCTCCCTGGAGGTCAGGGGTAGGGCTTAATAGTTTCAATACTCTAATAACAGGATTAGTTCTCTTGGCAGCTAGCCAGCATCCATGGGCAACGGAGCAGCTTTTCAAAAGTCACCTCATTAACATGACAGAAGATACCTTTGTGGCCTTCAGTGCTTAGGAAATTCCAAGGGTTTTAGGAGCTCTGTGTCAGAAATGAAGGCAAAGACCAAATATGTATTTCTCCTTATAAATCACAGTATCGCAGACATCTTGGTTGTTTCTAAGTTGTGGCAATTATTTAAAAAGTGCTATGAACACTCATGTGCAGATTTTTGTGTGGACATAACTTTTCACTTTGTTTGGGTAAATAAACAGGAACACATGTAATTGCTAGATCATATGGCAAGAGAGAGTTTAGTGTTATGAGAAACTGCCAGGTTCTCTTTCAAAGCAGTGGTACCATTTTGCATTTCTAAGAGCTATGAATCACAGAGTTCCTGTTTTCCCACATCTTCACCAGCATTTGGTGTTGTCAGTGTTTTTGATTTTAGCCTTTCAAATGGATGTATGGTGGTATCTAAATGTTGCTTTCATTTGAGATCCCCTAATGATGTATGCTGTTGAAGGCGTTGTCATAGGCTTATTTGACATTTGGATATCTTCTTTGGTGAGCTTCAGACCTTTTGCCCATGTTTTAGTTGGATTGTGTATTCTATTACTGTTGGGTTTGGGGACTTCTTTTTATAATTTTAGATATCAGTCCTTTATCAAGAGTCGCATTTTGCAAATATATTCTCTCAGCGGGTAACTTTTCATTCTCTGAAATGTCTTTCATAGAGCAGGAGTTTTTAATTTTACTCAAGTCCATCTTATCAATTTTGTTCATTCATGGATCATGTCTTTGGTGTTGTAGCTACAAACTCATCCCCGCACCCAAGAGGATATAGATTTTCTCTTGTGTTATCTTTTAGGAGTTTTATAGTTTTACATTTAACATTTAGGTCTGTGATCCACTTTGAGCTAATTGTTGTGAAGGGTGTAAGGTCTGTGTCCAGATTCAGT